TTCAAGCTAACGACTGCAGAGATGGTATCAGCGAAGACCTCCCAGCAGAAGCTGCACTCTTTGATGGCATTTACTTGCCATACAAACTGAACGAGATATCTTCACGAAATTCTGCACGAATCATTGCTCAAAGAATCGATAAATTCTTCGAAGAAATCGTTCAGATTGGACTACTATATCATATAACTAACATACGAACTGAACGATTGGAATCAATTCCTAGTATGGAAACCTTTTTTATTTCACGAGGTATCTTGATGAAATTTTGCACGGATTAGTATTCAAAGCAACGTTGTAATATTCGAAAAGCTTTACTTTATCAGACCACTATATCATATAGCTGCTGTACAAACTGAACGATCCAGGTCCAATTACTGTAGGAAAAACTTTTTTATTTGTCGAGATATCTTCACGAAACTTGGCATTAAATATTATCTAAAATGATATCTCAGAACAAATCCTTCAGATCGTACAACTATATCATATAGCTGTCATACAAACTGAACATTGAAAACCAACTTTCAGTATGAAAGCTGCTTTATTCATGAAGCATTTTCTTGCTTCACTGCAACTAAAGTAAACATTTTGTCTTGTTTCATATAAGTTTGTGCCACCACTGCAACCGTTGCTGCTACGTCGCCTCCAGTCGCCATAAAGACATTACATTCTTCTGCTGCTTACACTTACATGCGCCCAACCACGTTGACTGCTGTCTCTTCAAGCGTACATTTTCAGTGTCTACGCTGCATTTTATATCCAAAACAAGTCGAGAATTTGCGCGCCTGCCAAGGAATCTCCAGGGACAGTAGGCGCGGCGGCACGCTGTTTGTCGTTCGCCGTCTGGCGGCTGCCAGCAACTGCTGCTCGCTCCAGCGTCGCCAACGGAGGAGCCCGCGACAGCACATGCACACACATACTTTGAAACACGCTGCGACCATTTCGGTTTGCTTGCACATTTTTTAATGCCAATAATTACATGCAATTATTGTTATTATTGCAATATTATTTTTATATGTCCATCAGCTTATTGTTATTTTTTAATTTTGCTCGTTTGAATTTCATGTTTTTTGCGCAGCTTAAAGAAATTACGCTGCCACAAATGACACACACCTAAGCCGCCGGCGCCTTAGGTGCAACTGCAGACATTCTCATTAGAACTTTCATTGCCACTGTTCCCTTTGTTTGTATGTGTGTGTATATGTGTGTGTATGTATTTGGCTTATAAAATCATATTCGTGTGGGCGAAGCGCGCTTTGGTGCGGTGTTTATGGACGCTAAAGCCTCAAACAGCATGAACATGTTTTCTCGAATTTCAAACGAAGCATGCTATTGGCTTTTCTATTAGGCCACAAATTGATTATTAGCATTAAATTATAATGGTTTATAAATTTAATACAAAATTAAGCATTTGTGCAGTGATAGTAATTTTTTTTACCCTCAATTGTCTTTATTAAGTTTGCTATAGAGTGTGTTAGATCTAAAAGGAAAGCACAGCAAACATATAATACATACATACATATATAAATGATCAGCGTGGCAAGCAAAGAGAGAGGGGACATGCATTTTATCGTTTAGTTTGTATGGCAGTTATATGCTATAGAAGTTCGATCTGAAAGTCTGTTTTGGATATTATACCGTTACTTTGTAGTTTAATTCCTAGCAAATTTGGTTAAGATATTTTCGTCAAATAAAAAAGTTTTCCATACAGGGACCTGTATTTGAACTTTTATTTTGTGTGACGGCTATATGGTATAGTATTCCGATCTGAACAATTTCTTCGGAGGTTAAAGCAATACATTAAATAATAATCCATACCAAATTTAGTGCAGATATCTACTGAAATAAAATAGTTTTTCATACAAATACTTCAGTGTGATCGTTCAGTTTGTATGGCAGCTATAAGCTATACCTTTCCAATCTAAACAATTTCTTCGGAGCTTGTAGCAATGCCTCAGGTAATTATTGTGCAGATATTTGCTAAATTTTGTGCAGATATTTTATCAAAGAAAAAGTGTTTCATACAAGAGCTTGTTTTTGATCGTTCAGTTTGTATGACAGCTATGTGCTACGGAGGCCTAATCTGAACAATTTCCACAGAGATTGTATCAATTTTGTAGGTAATAATATGTGCCAAACTTCGTGAAGATAACATGTTAAACAAGAAAGTTTTCTATATAAATACTTGATTCCGTTCGTTCACTTTGTATGGCAGCTATATGTTATAGTTACCCGATACCGACTGTTCGACCAAGGCAGCAGCTTATTATTGAGAAAAGTACGTATACAAAATTTCAGTTATAGTTTTATAGTTTTACCGACGTTTCCTTTTGTGCGTTACAAAAACAATATTGGCGATACTTTAACTAAGTTTCTTAAAGATAAATTCATATCAGTCACCTTTTGATGGTAGGCATGTATGTTGTATATCAAAATAATTAATTCGAATCTGGCAACGCCAACAAATCACCAAGCAATCGCCAGCGTATTATAGAGGGCTCAAATTTTACACTTATCTGTTCGAACGCTTGTCGCCAGCGCTCATTAGTGTTGCCATAAATGTCAAGCAAATAAATATATATGCAAAAACAGAAAAAAAAGAAACAAAAAGAAATTTTAACACTTATTTTCGCTGAGCTCTCACCATTTCATAACTTCAGCGCGTTGGCGGCGCAATTAAAGGTCACAATCGTGGCGATGTCCATCAATTTGTCTCGTTAAAGGTGTAAAACGCGCGTTAAACGGCAGTGATCCACAACTAAATGCACACATACACACACACACACACGCAAGTAACGATTTACATTTATTGTCTATTAAACGCCTGTAATTTGAGGAGTTTAAATGCGCGTCATAAATCGCAACGCAGCTGCGGTAAGCCACGCAGCTGCGGTAAGCCACGCAGCGTCGACACCAACCAACAAAAAACGCGTGAATGTGTTGAAAAATAGGTAAAAGAATAATAAAAGAGGGAAAGGCGATTATGAAGCTGAATATAAAATCCAATAAATGCGCGCTTATTTAATAATAAAAATATATTTGAGGCGCGCTTAAGCTCATAATATTGAGAAAGGGATTGCTGATGAAAGATATAGCGATAGCTACAACAACAAAAACAACAAAAATAATAACAAAAACGCACACCGCCAAGGATGTAAAGGAATGCCAATAACAAGTCAATGCAACGGCTGCAGTGCGCTGAGCTAGAGAGCAAAACGCAAAAGTTGTTGTGATAAAGCACCGTTGTAGTTGTTGCTTTGAAAATAATGCCAAGCAAAACAGCGGCTGAGCGCGAAAATTTACAGGAGCATAAAATTGCATGTGTCGCAGCAATGGTGGGCCATAAAAACTAGGAACTACAACAAAAAGCAAAAAAGCGGTGAATAAAGGGGAATACCAGAGCATGCAATACGTAGGAGAGCGTTTTATAGAAGTCGGTGGAACAAGTTGGCTGAATTATTTGAAGATTTGCTACAGGAGCGCATAAAATACTAAACGCTTTTCCAACAACACTCTAATTGCCGATTTAAGCATTACAGTATTAAATCACTACAGCAATAACAGGCAACTACAACAACTATTATTAATGACATATGGCAGCGACGTGATGCGTACGCCCCACCCGTAACATTTCAACAACGCTTTGCTGCTTTTATCGACTTTAGCGTGTTGTCTTAAGCCGGCGCAGCTAAGCCGCCGCGCTGCACTTCGCTTTTGCAGCGAAAAAAGCTTGCAACGATATGTTTAAAAAAAAAATCGCTGCAAAAATGTGAAAAATGCCGAAATGGTCCATTATGTGGCAGCAACATTTCAAAGCAAAAATAGCGCTGAGCAGAGAGTGCTGCTAAAGAGAAAATGAGATTATATCCACTTGCGGACACACCAATTTGTGTCATGAGTAGAAGGGAGCGACAGAGAGCTGGATATAGTGAGCAACTTGAGCGTATTAGTAATGAAATTGAGTACTTAATTTTAGCTCATTTCTATAAAGTTAGACAATTTGATACTTTGTTATAGATTTGTTCTTGTTCGCAAGATCTTAAATTCCATTTTTTCTATTTTTAATTTATAACTACGAAATAATAATATGATAGCTACTGGTATGTAATGGGACAATTTCTAATCATCAGCAAGTTGGTATAACTTAACTCTGGGCTGCTGCAATGCATGAAAAGGAGCTGCCTGTAGGCCGCTATGTTTGAATTGGGTATCCCCGCAAAAATAATACGTTAAGCTCAGCGATAATCGATACCAGACAAGATTTTAGAAAGGAAGATTCCCTCTAAAGCGTATTTTCCGATATATTGTACTTGCAATGCTAGAAAAGTTGATATGTGCTGTCAATCTGAACCGCAAAAATTGCGACCCTATATCAGAAAATAATGTGACGAAAATTCTCTTCCATGGCGTCAATCGTTTTGAGCTTATCTGCTTAGACAAGCAACTTCACAAAAAAGAGTCCAGAGGTGTGAAGGCCGTGAAGGCCACGCTACAGGTTAATCTCGCGATTTATTGAGGATGTAATGCTTCCAGCGGCTGCAAAATATCCACCAAAGTCATTCCAAAGGACTTGCGAGTGATGTAGAGCTCTCTTTCAATCTCTTTAACACTTGTCTGACGATTTTCAAACACTTTTTTAATATTTTCATCAGTAGAAGAGGTTGAATGTCGTTCAGAATGGGTCAATTCTTCAACGAACAACGACCAACTCCAAAAAAATATTACTGTCTTGAGAGCCACACGTTTAAAAAAACTCATTATTGTACTCCCTTACTCATTTCCACTAAGAAAATCACTCACTCTATCTGGCAACACATTTCCAGCCAAGGAATGGAAAAGTCCATAGGAAAAAAAAACAACTACTGCTTATTTACAACAAATTTGTAAGCCGCTTGCTCTCCCTGCGGTCTTGTTGTTGCCGCAGCAAAGGTTTTGAGCACCAGTAGCAAACGAGTACATTGCTGAGTCTGCGACAGGTCAAGCAACAGTTGCGTGTCGGCTTTCGTGAGCAACAGAACAGAATTCGGCGGATTGTAACGCTTAACGCGTATTTTGTTTGAACGGCTCTAGTGAACCGGTGTGGAAGGTAAAACAAAAGTGACATGAGTGAGGAAATTGTACAAAATCGCACATACAAACATACACCGAAATTCTAGTTTGATTTTATGGCTTTTGGTTTAGTGTTAAACTTGAAGAAGAAACAGCGCAGCGCTCACTGAGAGCAAAGAGTGCGCCGCCAGTGAAAAATTGCACATGAACTATGCGAAAAATTTGCAAATTAAGGAAGAAGAAGTTTCGTGTATAAGCAGTCAATAGAAATATGCCAACTAAGCCGCAAAAGGAGTAGTCTGTAAGCTATAACAACAACAAATAAAAATAAAACTATTTGTGTGGAGGTTTTCTGGGCTTGTGTTTGCGCTGTGGCATAACTGTGTTGCATTTGCCAAAAATTTTGCGGTACAAATGTTAAAAAATAATAATTTTATTAAACAACAAAAAAATACTTTAACTAGCTTAAAGCTTACTGTTTGTCAGTGCGACGCCGCTTCGACACTTTGTTGCCGCTAAAAGAGAAAGTATCGGAAAATTGCCGCATATGTACTCAGTGCTTACATATTTAAATTATTTTTGTTTTTGTTGTTAACAGTGTCCCAAGCAATTTAATCGCCTTTGAAAGTGTGCAAAATCAACTTACATTAAATAGGCATTAAAGTCTTTCAACTAAACAAATTTATTGATAAAATAAAAGTGGCGCATAGCAAAATGAGTAATAGTGTTACCCTATAAAGCCAGTTCACCGCGCTTATGCCATTACATCACTCAACTAAAGCATACATTCACCAGCGCATTGCATTGCATTGATTAAAGTGCATAAATCAAAAGTTATTAATACCTGCCTGTGTCGATCCATATAAGCATTTTGAAATTGCAAAACTTTTGATTTCTATTTCTCTAAAAAGTGTTTCATTTATCGTCCATTAAATTGTATTTACTACAGTGAGTGGAGTAAAGCGCAAAGTGACTGCAGCTGTGGGAAGCAGTTAACGGAGTTTTTTAGATGGATTATTGAATTTGAAGGTAGTTGAGTTATGAATATGAAATATACCTACATATTACATTTACCTACATTTTACACCCAAGAGACCGCGTTTACTGTGATACCAGGAAGAGGTTTTATTATAAGGATATGTAGACGTGAAGAAATAAAATACTTGCGAATTTTTTAGGGATAACAGAATTAAAACACTAATTTATTGGGAATAGCAGATTTAAGGCACGAACTTTTTTGGAATCGAAAGATTTAAATTCTAACTTTTTGGTGAATAAAAGACTTGAAACAAAACTTTCTTGTATCAAAAGACTTAAGGCACAAACTTTTTTGGAAATAAAAGTCTTAAGACACGAGGTTTTTTGAAATAAAAATATTTAAGCACGCACTTGGTTTTAAATAGCAGACTTAAGTCACAGACTTCTTTTATTCTGAAAGACTTAAGGTCGAAATTCTATAGCAAGGCAGAAGTCCCGAGTTTTAAACCACTTTCATCATTAAAACTATGAAAAATTTTATCTTTTAATTCGACCTTTTTTGCATGGATTATTGATTTCAAATTTAATCATAAATATTGAATTATATATATAATATATTTAGACCAATTTGTAACGGTATACTGACATGAATATGCAATCAAAAGACTTCATTTGATATAATAGAATTAACGCGCGAACTTTTTTTGGGAATAAAAGATTTAAGGCACGTACTATAGTTGATATAGAAGACTTAAGATACAAGTTACATTGGATTTGAAAGACTTAAGGCCAAAACTCTATGGCAAAGTAGAAACAAAATATAAAAATATAATAAAAAATAAAAATATATATTTTTTTTAATATACATTTAATGGTGTTTTTTACATGAATTATTGTATTCGAAGGTAGTTGAATCATAAATATTGAATTACTCAAGCTTCTACACATATATACAACCATATGTAGGCGTGAATGTACCAACGCGAAATTTTATTTACATTAGAAGACTAAAAATGAACTTTCGTGACTTGAAAAGACATAAACGTAAACTTTTTTGGAATCAAAAGATTTAAGGTGCGAACTTTTTAGAAACAATACACTTAAGACACGAAACTTCTTGAATTAAAAGGATTTAAGGCACAAACGTTTTGGGAATTAAAGACTTACGGCACGAACTTCGTATGAAATAGTAGATTTAAAACACAAAATTTGGAATTGAAAGACTTTAGGATGAAACTCTGTGGAAAACAGGAGTTCTGAGTTGAATTGGTTTTCTCATTTAAACTATGATTTAATAATTTTTTTTTAATAAACTCATGTTTTATCTACGCATTTCAATCAAATCTACTACCATCATCTATTTTCACTACATTTCGCTGAAATAAAGTAAAAAAACAAAAAAACGAAGTCATACTATCCTTCAAATATACAAAAGATTACAAGAATTTGATTCTTATAGGTCACTTTGTACAGCAGCTTTGTACATACTGTATGCTATTGGGATTCGATATAAACAATTCCCTCGGATATTGTGCTCTGAATATAGGCATATTAACTTTGGTAAGGATATCTCCTCAAATAAAAAAGTTTTCCATACAAGGACTGGATTTTCATCGATCAGTTTGTATGAGAGCTATATGCTAGAGTGGCCCGATCTTAACAATTTCTTCGGAGTTTGAGCAATTGTTTCGGATAAACATCCTTGTTAAATTTTGTGAAGATATCTTCTCAAACACAAAAATTTTCCATACAACCTTTGGATTTTGATCGATCAGTTCTTATGAAAATTATATGCAATAGTTGCCCGATGTAAATCACTTCTTCGGAGTTTTTATCGCTAATTTGGGAAATTTTGTGCGCTGAATTTCGCAAAGATATCTTATCAAATAAAAAAGTTTCCGATATCTCAAAAATTGCGGTACTTGTTCGCGTATATATACAGAGGACTCCGCTCTGCCTTTCTAATATTTTTCCAAAAACCAAGAATATGTTAACGTAAAAGACACTTAACATAGCCTCTAAAATTCTTTGACAACTCATTTCAGCTTGTATAAGTTAGCAAAACTCGGAACGCTTTCCATTTTGTGCAACAATAGAAATGGTTCATTGCGCAGCTCAATCCCGCCCATTCTGGTTATCTTAAATTTCTAAAATTATACGCACAAAGTGAACGTAATTAAGCGTCTTATAAATATTTTACCACTTCAAAGGAAACAAAAGATTTCGTTTTTCTATTTTGTAGCACACACATACATATATACATACACATACACACTCAAGTGTATTCTAATTAGCACTCGCAGGCAATTGTCACGCTCGCGGTGCTATTAAGCCGAACAATGCTCACCTTACGCTTACACATACGGTACTTATCTGTGCGTGTGTGTGCGGCAGATTAATCAAATCGAAAAAGTTGAATATATTTTCAAACTATTCTTTGCTATAAAGATTTGTTTTCACTACTCTGACACTATTCTAATACAAATTAAAGCGTTTGGCTAACCAGCGGACAGACAATGGCAAACTGGTACGGTAATTTGTTCACTTTCGAATGTGACTTTCTTCCATGCGTGAAATAAAAAAGATAATACAAAAAAAAAAAAACAAAAGCAATGCAAAACAGAGAACAAACAGCAACACGTGGCCGTCTGGAGTTCTATTGCCGCCAAAGATAACAAAAAGCAATTTACAAAGAATAGCTTTATTTAAATAAGATTTCGGATTCGCTTTACCGCTTACTCTTCGCGGCTGCAGCGGGGCTTTGCTTTGGTTAGGTGGCTGTGGCTTTGTGAAAAGCACGCTTTCGAATGGCACAATTCACTGATTGCAAGAATTTAGGTTATCCCAGCCCACAGCAGCCAGAGCAATCAAACATAATTGAATATTCAATTCATTTCAATGTGGAGCAAAAAACAAAAACAAAAACGAAACGAAAAAATAACAGTAAAGTGGCTTAGGGAGACTGCAATAGCACCGTTTGCCGTTATCAACCAGTATTGTGGAGTTTAAGGCTGTAAGCGAAATTAAGGTATTTTTGCCGTTAATTGTACAAATCAATAATGTTAGTGTGCATGTGTACGTGTAGGCACTTACTTGGCTTCATATCTTGCTTAGCTTTGCTGCCAATTAAAATTCCATTTCTTTGCTTATTATTGCCATTTGTTTCGCGTGCGGGTTGTCTGTTCACATAACCGATCTGTCAGCCGATTATTCTGCCGATAACTTTATTTGATTTGTAATTAGTCACGTGCGCAGTAGCCTTGTTGTATTTGAATGCAGACAATTAGTAAAAGAAATATAACAAAGGGATAAGAGAGAGTTAGGTAGGTAGGTAGAGGGGCTGTCTGGTGACGTCGACTCATTCTATTTTCTCCTCCCTAAACCACACTGTGCTTCTGGTAATGTTCATCTGTGCAACCGCCGAAACGTCATCGAGAAACTCTCGGACGCTAGTTGCGATTATTTTCCTTTCAAGAGTCTAGTAATTCCATGTAAGATATTTTACAGTGCCCTCTGCTTCTAACAGTTTCACAACAGTCATCACACGGTGTTCCTAGGCTGCTAGCATGTCTGCCAATAAGTGAGTGATCTGTTAGCACTGCCACTTGAGTTCTTATGCCATTCCTTTTGAATTTTAATAGTTGCCAGGTGAGTCGATATCCATTCATGCCAACTTTTACCCGCTGCTTAAGCAAGTTAGTTACTCATTCCGCTGAGTCTCAGCTATATTTAGGTTTACAAGTAGTCACAGACATATATATTCCCTCTATATCGGGGTCTAATCTATCCTAATATCTAACTGTAGGCTGGTGGCTGCTCTGGCGCCACAATTACCACGCAGGCAATGACCTGAATTGCTTATGATAGTCTGCCTAATGTTTCACTAGGGTAAGTTAGGTTAATTAAATGTTCAACCCTTACAGAGATCTAACTTGAACAGCTTATAACACCGCCCGGATGAAGTACCTAAATTCCTATTTAATAAATCATAAGGCCCTCAAAAATGTACAAAGCGTTTTGAGCCGATCATAAATTTGTTGAGGTGACTAATATCAGTTTAGGTTATGTTTACTGGTTCACTGCTGATATCAGTCTTAAAAAAGCTGATTAATGTAGAAGAAACTGGCTGGATGTTTCCACCTCACCGTCTGACATACGACTTTGATAATTTGTTTCCGACTGCATTTTTAACCTCTTATGAATAGCTGTTGGGCAATTCATAATAAGAGCTGCCACATTTGCGGCAAGATGGACTTTGCAAGGGAGAGTAGTTCAGTAGAGTTCCAACGTTCAACTGTAGGCAAGAATAAGGTCACCGTCGCGCAGAAGAGGGACGTCTACGGAAGCTAATGATCATCCAACTTGTTCCCCTCCGGCGCTAGCGGGTTAAGGGTGCCCCTCTGGCTAATTCATCACCTTTCAGGTTTCCAGCGATTCTGCCATGACCATGCACAAAACCGACTTTAACAGTGAGCTAGCTTGAAGCTGTATCTAGTGAGGATAGACACTCTTTGGTCAACTTTGAGCTCACAGTTTGCTAGCTCTTTTGCAGTAAGTCTACCACTACTTTAATAGTAGCCACTGCAACCTGAAAACACTAAAACAAACTGGTAGCCTAAAGCGAAGCTGGATAGGTATTTCATTAGAGCAGATTCCTCTTCTAACCTTCACTCCTAACCTCGAACTTTCGGTGAAAAAGAATATTGCAGCTCTCCTCCAGTATGTTATCTACGAAATAGCCACCAGGAGTAGCCTTGCGATGAAGTGTTCCCAGTTTTCAAGTATTCTCTGAGTGACCATCGTAGCAAGGTCCCTTCTTGCAAGCAAAGTGTTAGACTTACGTGTATAAAAGTCCTAGAGTTCGAGAAATAAAAGAATATTTCATCTTAGAGAGCAATATATAATATTTTTGCATTAAATGCCCCTACCCTACATTAAGTTAAGTAAGGCATTTACCCATATCATGCATCAGACTATTATGGAAGTGATATTTAAGATGCATCTTCGTAGCTTCTAAAATTTAACGCTTAGCTACTTTATTGATTTCCAGC